TAACCACCTGGCCATGCCGGGCCTATTTCATTAATGAATATCCGTGTATTACATCTCGCCCCTTAAATTACTCTTTCACCACTAATTAAAAAGAGGAGGGGGTTTGCGAGAAAACATGTATTAAATGGGGTGTGGGTTACAAAAGTTTGGGAAACGCTGCCTTAGAACAGAACAATTCTTTCACGTGTATTTATGCACTACTGTGTTTACAAAATTTACCAAAAAATAAAAGTTTTTTTCTACAGTCTTACCAGGATAGCTTTCTATTATATCCTAAATAATTCATGTTCAAGTATTTTTCTCTGCCTATTTCCTTCTGTCCCCCCTCTCTAATATAAATTAAAAAACGCTTAGACTTGAAAATTTTCATATAATGCTACACAACCGCTACCTGCGCAGTCATCCCTATAGTTTGATCTGATAAACTACTAGACAAAAGACATCTAGTAAACTGACCGTCACTCTTATAGCGCACCCATGATCCCAAACTAAGTAGCGCCTTTTCGACATCAGGAATCCTGAGACCTACTTTCCAGTCACTCAGTTGATACTCAAATGACGTCAGTAAAACGTACGCATGCCATATGAAATAAAAAAGCAACTAATAAAAACATTAGAAATAAACGACCTTATAATACCAAAATGTTTTTATTTAATTAGAAGAAGCTGTAAAGCGAAACGTTGAATATCTAATTAAATAAAAACAACATTTTGATGTTATAAGGTCGTTTATTTCTAGTATTAATGTGTTTTCTATACACAAATATGAACTACAAAAATTAAACAAGAGACATCAGTGTTTATTACTCTTAATTTTGGTTTTATTTACTCTTGAAACAGAACACTTTCACGGAACCCTGCGGAAGTACATCTAGTTAATTATTATTTTTAGACAGACGAGTGAAAGGTAGAAATACTAATCACTAATGTTGTTCTTGACTATCTTTAACAACAGTGTAGCTTGCACAAATCCACTGCAGAATCATGTGATTTTTTTAACACACTATTTTCTTAAGCTCATATATATTCTTCAAAGGTTATCTGTGCATAGCCGTACCAAATTGTAAAGTCGTATACTAGAGCAACGGTTCCCAACCTTTTCACCACCAAGGACCCCCCATGTTTTTCGAAAGATTCCATCTACCCAACAAACCGTTTTTCTTACTAATAATTAACTTGTTTTTCCATTTTTTTCACTATCAAATAAAAGACGTATATAACTGAGTGTGCAATTAAAAGAACAGCATAATTAAAAAAAACTTGCTTGTTTAATGAGATGTATTTTCTTCGCGGACCCCCTGGAGTGCGGGAACCGCTGTACTAGAGGGAAGGCAGCTAGTTAACAGTATCCACCGCCAACTATTGCGCTACTCTTACCTGATCGAATAGTGGGGTTTGACCCTCATTCTTATTACGCACCCAAGGCTCCAAAGTGCGGAGCACGTTTTTTCGGAAGAGGGCTCCAAATCAGGAGCCGCCATTAGGTTCACAGTGAGGACTGAGTAACCATTAGGCTAGGCCCTGCCCTCTTCTATATTAACATTTATTTACTCTACAATAATAAACATACATTACCTTTATAACTTGATTTTAAAAATATTAGTTTTCGGAATAACGGTTAACTCTGTAAAATCTGGATGATGACGTAACTCATATTAAAAGCGTCCTTTAACATTTTAAAATTATGTTTCGCAATTATATGTGCCTTTACAAGAAACACGGCTCTGTGTGAATGAAAAAAGTGTCAATTCACGTGGCAATCTAACGTACAAACATAGAAGACGAGATTTGGAACGACGCCAAGAGAAAGAAAATTCACCTACTGCGTTCGGGTGAATTCTTTCAGCTTAAAGTCGTACTTTACTGGATTAGCATGACTGGAACTTGGAATACAAAACTTTAAATTTAGAAACGATTTTATACCAAATTCAGTGACATTATATACCTCACGATCTTCAAAATACTCTTGTTTAATTTGTCCAATCTTGTTTTTTAAACCGGGTGTGAAAAGGAGACCGAATTGTATTGGTAACAGTGTTTAACACTAGTTGGCCTTAAACAAAAATCTATTTAAAATCTCATATAACTCTTAAAAGGTAACATTTTTAGTAATCTTTTCTAAGTTAATAAAATATCAGTTTTCGCTACTAGTAGATTAATGAAGTAACACACATCTTTAAGGTCAGATAAGTAATGGGAATTTCTACAGCTTTTACCGACTGCTAAACTACAAACTAACGACTAAGTAACAATTAGTTTGGTTGAATAAAAAAACAAATATTTACCCTAAATTACACGGTTATTTTCTTTTTGTTGTTTACAATTTTGCACACACGACGTTTACGGTAATTTAAAGTTATCTCCGTTAAACCTAAACAGGAGAAACTTACCTTTTTCTTGAACACTTGAGTTTTCTAAAGCTCCTACTTCCTGAAAGAGAACAGATTCTTTTTTGGTGAAAGATGCAAGTCCAACTTTTATTAAAACGAACCTTTACGATTTGATCCCTTATTCTGATAGTAGGTTTACGAACACTTTTATTATTTGTCCAAACTTTATATAATACTATGATTTTATTCTTCAACTATTTGTCTGTATTAAAAGTTGATTGTAAAAAACCTTTTATTTAAATATTTTCCACGTTTTCCTTAAGTCGTTTATTTGCTTTAGAGTAGTTGGAAGCAAACCAATGTATCACTCCGAGAAAGTGTCAATTTAACTAATAATAAAGGCAATTCAGAAGACTTCCAAGTACGACTTACCGAGTATATGTTCCCCCTTTCACTAAAACCATACAAATACTTGTTTCAGAACAGAAGGAAAAAAAAGTCACACAGGCACATTATATAAAACTTATTATGCGGTTTGAAACCTTACTCATAAGCCTTAAAATAAAGAACGTTAAACTTAGGAATACTGAAAGGACCATCCATCACGCTTTAAGAGAGACGATCACCTCACGTGCTTTTCAGAGATCACATTTCACTTCCTGCTAGGAAGATATATCAGATTACAGCCAACGAATGTATACTAATATGCTGACCACACATAAAACACCTAATTCTTTTCTGACATTTTACAAAATTGTTACATTATACTCATGAACCATGTTGGTTACTTCTACTCGTCTATTCTATAGATATTTCGTCA